TAGCGCGCCAAATTCCAAATTTTTGAATATGATTTGTGTTACAAATTAAAAATTAAATAATAGTTTAGATCACGGGTTGTGGGATGCATTTTAAATAAATCTGTTAAAATGTTGTCTGCCCTTTTGGTTTAAGGATATTTTATTAGCAAACCTGTTTAAGGTGTTCACTCAGCGAGATCCTCAGGTGTCCCTTCTGATGCCTCAGCATCTCACAGGTCATAAGGCCGTAGAAAACAGCTGAGCAGGCCAGAGGGACGCAGAAGTAGAAGCCAAACAGCCACCAGTCCTTGGCATCCCGGTAGAACTGAATCAGAAAGATTCAGATGATCATCCAGCTTGAAATGTCTGATTCAGCCACAAGAAAACATTTCTAAATGTACCATTTACCTGAAGCGATTCGGTTGCCTCCATGTCTGATTGATTGACGCTTTGCTAACTGGGTTATAGAAATGAATTCCTGCTAATTCCCTAATCCTGCCGGATGTTTGCTGACTTCTAAGGAGGATCTTTTTCCTGCCTAATTTCTCTGATTAGATTTGACTCAGGGCTGCTGGAGATAGGCACCTCTCAGCCCCCCACCCCATCCCTCCCCTGTTTTCATCTTCTTTGGTCCAAAAAATAATCAATATTTGAATTTTACTAAGCCAACAGAACAAACATCTAAGATAAAAATGTTAGCAGATTTATTAAAGGAGCTATGAGACAAATTCATGAGGAAAAACAAACAACTAAATAGATAACCTGCATCCTTACAGGACTTTGCTCTAGATCCTGTCAGAAGTTTATATACGAGTTCATGAAAGTTAATTGATAGCTTAACCGTTCTCTCTTTAGGGTGAAATAATCACATAATCTGTTAAACATTTACCATCCCACCATCTATGTAAACTGTCCTGTTTTTTAGAGATGACAATTAAAGCACTGATTGGGTTTAAAGCTTTATCCTCAATTCTTCACTTATTACTATCTGTAGCGGCCTTCCATGTTCCAAAAATAAAGGTGGCAACAGGTGGTGTTTCGTATACTGACTTCTTAATTGCAAAAATGAATGTTTTTTATTTTATTTCCAGCAATAAAAAAGACAGAATATAACTATAAAAATAGCTTAAAGCTTAAATAAAAGCCCTTAAAAAATGGTTAAAACTGCTAATATGAATCACCTCCCATTGCCATTCATGGCTTTCAGGGAAATTTTGGTTTTGAAACATGGAAGGCCAAAACATTTTAGTCAAAAAATCTTTTTTTACCGCCTCACGTCCTCACACCAGACATTTGAACAACAACAAAACCTCTTCCCTGCCCCTGTTTTGTGTTCCTCATCGTCTAAATTAATGGGCGGGGCTAAAATTTAACAAAGTAATCAAAACAATTCAGAATTTAAAAAAAGAAATTTGTTTCAAACTAACTTTAATGTATTCTGTCTACAGTATAAAACTAAACAGAAATCTAAAAGTAAACATTTTACACCATCATAATTTCAGCCAAACAGAACCAACTTT